TTTTCTAGAATTTTATATGAGTGGAATCTGTACTCTTTTTGTCCGACTACTTTCACGCAGCATAATTATTTTGAGATTCACTGATGTTAGTGATTACTAATTTGCTTTCTTATGGTTCCTGGTAAACTGATGCACTGTCCTGACACTCAGCAGAGCTGCGTATCTTCTCAGTTCAGGATTTAACTCCACCTAATTCTGGCCGTGTTGAAAAACATGGCGAGGAGGAGGATACCAGACTTCCAGTCTGTTTTCAGTGTAGCACCTAGGAAATCTTTGCTTAGCTCAAGGCCGCCGAAGCTTCTTGTTATGTTTTCCTCTGTAAGGCTTGCAGTTTTCACATTTAGATCTATGAACCATTTTGAGTTAATTTTTGTATATGGTGCAAGGTGTGGATTGATGGTTTTCTTCACATAATATTCCCATTTTGCAAGTAAGGATTAGTATTTAAATATTTGCTCAAAGGCAGCAGAGTTGAGATCTAAACCTAGGGTTTTTAGGTCTCTGAAGCTAGTATTATTATTATTTTTAATTGCTATAAGGTGCACCTCTGGCCCTCTACCCATGTGGGAGTGGGGATGGCCACATCACAATCCCTTCTCCATTAGGCAAGCACGCACATGCACCTGGACTGTTTTCAAGCCACTGGGTCCAGGACTTGAACTATTCAATCAGCCATGTGGGATACACCTAAAGCTGGTGCTTTAAAAAAAAAAAATTTTTTTTTTAAGTTTTAGATTTTTGCCATTGGGCATGTGCCTTCTGAGAGGGGGGGGATCATCCCCAGGGGGATGGCCACCAGCAATCCCTTCTCCTCCATTCTCTTCTTGGCTTTTGGGCTTGTGGTTTTAATCTAAAAGTTTTCAAATGTGAAGTGCATTGAATAGCCAGGGAGTTCCCGTCAGAGGCAGGTCCCTGACGGGCTGGTGCCCAGGGCTGTGACCTGGGCACACTTCACAGGCTTCAGTGGTGGTCCCTGGAAACCCAAGGAGGGGTGCCGACAGCGGCAGCCCCCAACTCTTCACTCTCCGCCTCACTTTTCACTGGCTTTAAAGCCTTTGCTTTAAGGGCCTTTTCCAGACATTTTTACAGTCAAGAATTGCAACCATTCTTTGCCAGAGTAAACCCACCTCCACTTTCTAGCACGTGGGAAGTCCAATTTAAGGGGAAACTGAGATTTAGAACCAGTGTGGCCCTTGGGACCAGCAGTTGGTGTAATGGCTATGTCACTGGACTCCCACATAGTCGATTGCGGTTCAAGTCCCGGACCTGGTGGCTTAAACTCACGCTGGGTGTGTGTTCGTGCGTGCCCAAGATCCCAAGAGGAGAATGGAGGAGAAGGGATTGTGGTGTGGCCATCCCCCCCTGGGGGGTGATTTCTCGCTTCCTCTGTCTCTTTCTGGTGAGCACACGTGCCCTATAACAAACAAACAAACAAACAAACCAGCATAGCCCAACAATTTACTTTCACTGGGGTCAGAGAACTAGTTCACTTCCTCCTTGCCATGTTTTTCAATGCAGCCAGAATTAGGTATATTTTAATACTGAACTCCTGAGAAGATAAGTGACTATTCCACAGTGTCAGGACAGTCCATCAGTTATCAGGAAGCAGGAAGGGTGTGAGGAACATTCTGGAGACTTGCAGGAAAAGCAGTCCACCGCTACGTGATGATTTTCCATCCTGTGGGAAACACAGGATTCACAGCCTGGGGCTGTGGTGTATTATTCCACCAAGGCTGGGCCAAGTCTGTGTGTCCTTTCAGAAAGCAGGTACACAGGTGGCATGATGGTTAAGGTGGCCACATGGCCAACTACGGTTCAAGTCCTGGACTCGACAGCTTGAAAAATCACAAACAAATAAACAAATAAATACATTTCTTTAAAAGAAAATAAAATAGGCAGGCAGACACCTAAACTGGGAGAAGGGGGATAGGAAACACCTATAGCCATATCTTGAAGCCTCTGAGTTTAGAAACCTGTGGACATACTCTTCTGTATTCACATCTCTAGAAACAGACTATGGGGGTGCTCAGGTCTTGTGTCCCAAATAAGGTCAAATGAAGTGATAAGGGAAAGTTTCATCTGCCCACAATTTCTGTCCCCTGGGCAGGTGATGAAAAAGGCCTGCACGGTCCTGCCCCAGGACCATGCTTGGCTGTCCTACGAGGAAGTGACCACAACTCAGTGATGAGCAAATCGTGCCTGCTCTGGGTTAACTTGGCAGCCATCAAGGCATCGGATTTTGAGTATGTTGCTGAATGCACAAGGACCACTGGGACTGCCAGGCACTGCATCTAAGAATAAAGACAGTGAGACCCTCTAGTTTCTGTGTCTTGGTGTCCCCACATTCCTGTCTCATGGTCAGAAGAAGAACAAAGCATTAAGAGAATGAAAGGCAAACCACAGACTGGGGAGAAAATATTTGTGAAACACTTATCTGATACAAGACTGATATCCAAAATAAAACACTTATCTGAGGAACCAGCGGTTAGCATAATGGCTATGTCGTTGGACTCCCACATAGTCGACCGCGGTTCGAGTCCTGGATCTTGGGCGCATGTGCGCCCGTGCCCAAGATCCCAAGAGGAGAATGGAGGAAAAGGGATTGCGGCGTAGCCATCCCCCCTGGGGGGTGATTTCTCGCTTTCTGTCTCTCTGTCTCTCCCTCTCTGTCTGGCGAGCACACGTGCACTATAGCAAAAACCTCTCCAAAAAAACCCCCACTTATCTGATAAATGACTGACAACCAAAATATACAAACAATTCTTAAAACCCCACAGTAAGAAACCAACCCAATAAAAATCAGCAAAAGATATGAACACCTCACTAGAGAAGATGCCAAATAAGCATGCATGAAAAAGAGGCTCAACATCACATGTATTAAGGAACCACAAATTAAGACAACCTTGTGACACTACTAGACACCTGATGAATGACTAAAATCCAAAATATTGACAACACCAAATGCTGGTGAGGATGTGGAGCAACAGGAACTCTTAGTCATTGCTGGTGAGAATGGAACTGCCACTTTGGAAGAGAGTTTGGTGACTTGTAGCAAAACCAAATGTTTTCTTACCACACAATCCAGCAATTGCACTCCTTAGTATTTACCAAAATGAATCGAAAACTATGTCCACTCAAAAATGTGCAGTTTCTAGCAGCTTCCTTCATAACTGCCAGAACTTCAGAGCAACCAAGATGTCCTTTAATAGGTGACCAGCTCAACTGTCATATATCCATATAATGGATACAAAAGGAGAGGAATGAGCTATCAAGTTATAAAAAGAAATGGAGAAACCATAAATGCATATGGCTAAGTAGAAGCAGCCAACTTGAGAAGCCTACACATTGTGTGATTCCAGCTATACTCACATGATGTCCTGAAAAAGGCAAACTGATGGAGACAGAGAAGATGAATGGCTACCGGGGCAAAGGCAACGAGGAATGACAGGGAGGAGTGCAGACTTTTCAGGGCAGGGGAGCCGCTGTGTGTGGTTGTCATGGTGGATACATACTTTTACGTGTTTGTCCAGACCCACCGAACTAGACAAGAGTGACCACTAATTAAACTGGATTTTACAAAGTGATAAAGTATCATTACTGGTTCATCAATGACAAGCATGAGGAAAAGTACATGTATGGAAGGGTCACAATTATGTAAAATAAAAATAGTTAACACAGGGACCAGCAGATGGTGTAATGGTTATGTCTCTGAACTCCCACGTAGTCCATTGTGGTTCAAGTCTTGGACACTGTGGCTTAAAACTCATGCCAGGTGAATGTGTGTGCATGTCCAAAATCCTAAGAGGAGAATGGAGGAGAAGGGATTGTGGTGAGGGCAGGCCATTCCCCCAGGAGGTGATGTCTTGATTTCTGTGTTTCTGTCTGTCTCTCTGTGTCTCTCCAGTGAGTGCACATGCCCTGTAGGAAAAAAAAAAAAAAGAAAAAAAAAGAAAAGAAAAAAGGTTAACACAAACAAAAGAACAAAGCACAGTCTAATCCAAAGAAAGGAATCAGTCCTCATTTCAACAGGCCCCAAAATAGGAAGGTGGGTTTTGAATAAGACTTTTTTTAAAATTTTTATTTATTTTTATTTTTTTTAAGGCTTTTGCTATAGGGTGCACATATGCACTCTCCAGAGAAAGACAGAAGGAAATGAGAAATCGTCCCCAGGAGGATGGCCACACTATAGTCCCTTCTCTTCCAGCCTCCTTTTGGGATTTTGGGCACTAGTGCACATATGCCTGGCATGATTTTGAAACCACCAGGCCCAGGACTCAAACTGGGTCGGCCATGTAGAAGTCCAGCACATTAATCACCATGCCACCTGCTGGCCCCAATGATGACATTTTTTTAAAGAGAGATTTTTGTTATCAGGCTTGTGAGCTCACTGGAGAGACAGAGTAAAAAGTGAGGAGGGGGTGAGGGGGTGGGGAGAGGGGTGGCGCTGGGGAATGGCCATGCTACAATCCCTTCTCCATTTTCCTCTCAGGATTTTGGGCGCACACACACCCACGGTGTTTTTCAAGCCACCAGTTCGGGGTTCAGACTGTGGTCAGCCGTGTGGGAGTCCAGCACCTTTACCACCATGCCACATGTTTAAAGGAAATACCACAGTGTAGGCTAGCCCCCTTTTAAGGTATTATCTTACTGACCCTCAAATCAGTGAGCTAGCCACTGCATTACCCTTGCTTATCAGCTGAGGCTGAGGCAGGGGAGGTTGTCCTGTGGCCTCAGCTTGTCCTATGTGGCAGCCTTGGGATTCGAACTCAGTCTATGCTGATAACCTTTGTATCATACTGCTTAAAAAAAATAAATAAAAAGTAGTAACTAAACAGGGTGGAATTGTGACCTCAGCAGTTAGTGGATCTTCGTGAAGTACTCGCAAGTTGCTTGTCTAGAGGCTCAACATTCTCTGTGGAGGGGTTATAGGCTCCGCTGTTTCACAGCCTGCCTCCCTCCCCTCAGCCCTGCACTAGTGAAAGGAAACGTCAGCCACTCACCTTTCCGCCTTCTGGAATTCCACTGGTGAGGCCCAAGTGGAGTTGTCCGGGACTCTTGGCACTCCCGCAACCGAGTACTGCTGGCTGCCTGCCTGATGTGCCCACACTACCCGTGAGAGAACGACTCTTCTGGTGGGCCCAAGGAATGCTCTTCTGTCCCTGCTTGATTGACACGAGTTACAGACACTTCTAGTGACCAAGGACAGGGTATAGGTCTCCTGGGAAGCCCTTCCCCCACCCACTCGGAGACAGTGCCCAGGAACTGGGATGGAAACAAGAGCTTGGGGGCTGAAGTGAGGTAGCAGGTGCGTGGGACAAGGCCCTAAGTCCCCGTGGGGAACTGGAATGCACGGTGTCACTTCAGACCTGTGAGCAGGCACCTTTGACAAGGACCCTGCTCGTAGAAAAACAGACATAGCTTGTTGGGAATGATGGGAAGAAGGGGGAGCCCCAGAGGTGGTCGGATTAGCAAGGATAGTGAAAGCGACCCAAAACCTTTACAGGGAACCTGCAAACCTTTACCCCAAATCGACCTAACTCCTCTCTTACTCTGGCCCCTGACATCCTTAGGCACGAAAAGGACCCCTACACCATAGAGACTGGTACGTGGTTTCCACCTCAGTCGGTCCTCGAGAATGCCAAGCAGTGGACTCAGTGCCCCTCAGCATCCCATTCCACACAGCAGTCCCAGACTGTGGCCACTCTCCTCGACCCCCTCCCCTTCACCCCTCCCCCTCAAAAATGAGGTCATCAGGTCACTCCATTTCCAGTGTTCGTCTCAGCTCCATCGTCACCGCAGGTATCTTCTGGTCTGCTTTCCTCCCCTCCAGGAATGGTCTTCTTCAAAATCACCAGGGACTTCTCCAGGGCATTCTCTCTCTGTTTGTTTGCCATCGGGTGCGTGGTTTTGCCAGAGAGAGAGAGACAAAGAGAAAGTGAGAGATTAAGCCCCTGGGGGTATGACCATCCATAATCCCTTCTCCTCCAGTCTTCTCTCAGAATTTTGGCACACATGCACACGCACCCAGAATGTTTTATAAGCCACCAGGTCTGGCTCTTGGACAGTAGTCAGTCATGCGGGATCCAGCACCTTCACCACCATGCCACCTGCTGCCACCAATGAGTCTTTATGTCTACTGCAAGTGACAGTAACAGCCCTTCTGCCTTTGAAACCTTTTCTCATGTCTTGCCTTTAGGGGACGTTCCCTTGATCTTCTACCATCTCTGAATTCTCCTCAACCTTGCCATGGTCTTTTTTTTTTTTTGCAAACTTCTGTAGGGTAGGTTGGGGGAGGCAAAGTTACAGGGTCTGGGATTTCCTTAATTCCTTCAGGTGACTTTGTTGCATTGTCCCAAGGACCACTCTGAGCCACAGTGGTTGACCAGATGTCACGCAAGCACAAATTCAGTGTGTGCAAAAGAACTCATGAGTCCTCCCTTCACCTCCTTCTTCAGGCTCCCTCCCATGGGTAGGAGGATCTAAGCCACTCCCTGCTCTGCCATCTCCATGCCCCGGACCCGCGCTGGCACTGCCTGGCTCGCTCCTCTGAGCTCTTACTGGTGCTACTGAACCTTCTCCTCTCTTGCCGCCCAATACCCCGTCCAGCGTCTACTTCTCTAATACAGCTTCGATTAAGCAATTGTTTTTCATCTTTCACCTCTTCACTAAGGAAATCTCATTTCTTCCTTCTCCACCCAACTCAAACGTGCCCTCCGAATCACGGCTGAATGTACCCCACTCTCTGTGATCCGTGGCATTACCATGTTGTCAGCACGGCCCTCGCCAGCGCCTGTGAGCTGACTGTGCGAGTCCTAGTGGCTAAGAAAGCGCAGCTCACGAAGGGTGACTGCCTCGGAAGACAATGCAGGTGCGTGTGGGTGCGAGAGAAGAAAATGGAGAAGATGGCAGCTTGCCAACCCTCTGGGGGATGATTTCTCATTGTCGCCCTCTCCTGCCAGTGCTCATCCCCGACAGCATTAAATAAATAGAGCAGAGAGGATGCAAAGTGCATCCTGACGGAGGTAAGCGTGATCCATGTCCGGGGCCAGCAAGCTTTGCCCGTGGAGGACAGGGAGGACGGCTTTGAGGGCCAGCAGGTTTAGGCGCAATTACTCAACGCTGTGGAGTAGCTGCATTCCCATAAACTTTATTTTACACACTGAAATCTAAACTTCATATTCCAGATACTTTTCATGTGTCACTAAAATAGCCCTTCTGTTTCTTTTCGCCCACGCAGAGGTGCGGAAGCCACTGTTCGCCGGGGCTGTGGTTTGCCGACCCCTGGGGACAGCTGCGCACAACACTATGGCTCACCTCATAACCTCAGCACTAGGCTCTAGGAGCCTGGTGTTCTGACTGAAAGGCCCCTGAAAAAGAAAACGCACCACTAACGACCACGCCACCTGCCGGGCCTCCACAGATATCTGAGAAGAGCCCAGGAGGAGGGGGAGGAGGGCAGGGCGCGCCTCTGGGCCCAGGCGGAGCCGCCAGCTCTGCGCTCGTGCTGCCACCTAGTGCCCGGCCGGCCCAACGCCAGGCCTTTCCTCTCCCTTCCCGGACACCAGGGCTCTGCCCACGGGCTCCTGCGGTGACAGCCCAAGTGGACTAAGTTCCTCACCACACCCGGAAGCCAGAGGAATAGAAACCTAACAAATAATGTAAAGTGAGAACACAACCTCGAGTCCCAGGCTTTGGGAGCTGAGGTGCCTCTGAGTCACCTAGCTGAGTCTCCACCACCGCTGACCGCCCCCCACCAGTTCTCAGGCAAGGACACTGCAGACAGGGCCAGCTGTTCCGGGTGGCCTGGTCTGCGGCACAGACTGGCAGGGAACACCGCCTGCCCCACCCCATGTTTGGCTGTGTCCTGCACACACATGCCCAAGGAGGGCAGAGCATTGCCTCTGAGGCCACACTGCCTGTCACCTAGCTGCTGTGTCCATGGGCACTTACCTAGCCTTTGTACCTCGACTTCCCTAACTGTAAAATGGGGAGCACCTACTTGAAGAAACAAGCTACTCGAGTCTGCCTGTGCGTGGCCTCCGAGTGCAGCTGGTCACGGACGACTGCTGTGGTCGGAGGCCGAGTGTGTCACGTGTTTTGTGAGCGTCCTCCTTATGTCATCACCCCCGTCCTAAGTCAACCTGAGAAAGGCTGCAGGAAGCATGGGTGGGTGCTAGGAACTAGACTGGCATGGGACCACCTCCTGCTGAGTTAGTGACATCCAAGGTACAATTTACTACGTAACAAACACGCCCCAACTCCAATCTGGCAGCAGGGAGCATAGGAAACTGGATAACCTGGTGTCATTCTTAGCACTTCACAGGCCTTTTGTGGAGGGAGGTGATTGCTACTGTTCGAAGGTGATTTTTGTCATTGTTCTTTTGCCTTCGGAGCGTTCTGGGGGTGGTGACTGTAGATGGTGACTGGAGCAAACTAAACGTGAATGTCAGCTCTGAAAACACAGTACAGGCAGTTACTCGTCCTCCCTGCTTGCCCCACTTCATTTCTTAGCTTCTGACGTCTTAAAACTAATAGCATTTTGACTTTATGATCAATTTAACAGGACAGTAAAAGCCTTTGCAAAGCAAAACTCAGCGTTCTAATGGAGGGCATCTGTCCATGGTTAAAACCTTCAACAGCTGCAAGCATCGTGCTCCTTGAATTTATCTGAGAAAGGCAAATGCTTAAAGCTTAATTCTAAAAGTCCTGAAGTTTCCCCCTTCTGGAAACGTTCCCAATCCTGTCTTCAAATCCTTCAACAGATGCACAGAAAAGTGAGTCTAAGGCCTGGGACCTGGCTGGGCTGTATTCCACGTAAGCCCTGGCCCTGGCCCAGGCCTCCCTTAGGAATCCAGAGGCTTCTGGATTGTTACATCTGTGGTTCTTGAACAGTTTTAGAAAGTTGGAGCCAAGGGGCCAGCAGGTGGCATGGAGGTTAAGATGGCTAGACCCCATACGGCTGACTGTGTGGTTCAAGTCTTGGACCCAGCAGACTGAAGGCATGCTAGGCATATGTACGTGTGTGCCCAAGTTCTAAGAGGTGAAAGAGCTGCAGCATGGCCATCCCCGCAGGGAGCGATTTCTCACTTTCTCTCTCTCTGGTGAGTGCGCACATCCTGTAACTAAAAAACTAAAAAAAAAAAGTTGGGGCCAACCACGGTTTATTTCCTAGACATGGCAGCTTCAAAAATCACATAGAGGGGACCAGCAGTTAGCGTAATGGCTATGTTGCTGGACTCCCATGTAGTCGACCGTGGTTCAAGTCCCGGACCCGGTGGCTTAAACTCACGCCGGGCGCGTGTGCATGCGTGCCCAGGATCCCAAGAGGAGAATGGAGGAGAAGGGATTGTGGTGTGGCCTCTGCCTCGGGGGGGTGATTTCTCGCCTCCTGTCTTTCTCTTTCTGGTGAGTGCACGTGCCCTATAGCAAAAAAACTCAAAAAAAAAAAATCACATAGGGTATGTGTGTGTGTGTGTGTGTACGTCAAGGCCCTGAGAGAAAAATGGGAAGTGACTGGTGTGGGGGGGTGATTTCTCACTTTCTCTGGCGAGCGCATGCACCCTATGGCAAAAATCTAAAAAGAAAAGTCACTGAACAGGGCCAGCAGGTGGCGTGGAAGTTAAGATGCTGGATCCCATATGGCCAACTGTGCAGTTCAAGTCCCAGACCCAGCTGTTAGGAAAGCATGCAGGCATGTGTGCATGCCAGCCCGATATCCCGAGACTGCATAAGAAGGGACTGTGGCATGCCATGCCCCTGGAGGGTGATTTCTTACTTCCCCTCTTTATCTGTCCCTCTCTGGTGCGTGCACATGCCCTATGGCAAAAAACCAGAACAGTGGCACTGTGCTTGGTTCGGCGTACAGCACCTAGAAGGCGGGACAGGGGGCGCAGGAAGTGAGGGTTCATCTGAAGTCGGCCATCTGCAGAGCTTCACCTCTCTGAGCCTCCGTTCCTAACCTGTACGGCAGGGAGGACGCCCCCTCCCCTTCACGGTGCGATGACCACACACACATAGGACAAGTGCCACAGGAACTGCGATGTGCCACCCGTGCCTTTCGGATGTTTATACACAAACCTAGATTGCGATGGATGGGAGAGACGGCTTCTCAGATTGCTTTGATGGCCAGCTGCCCGCATTCTTTATGGTTTTGACCACAGGCGAACAATCCCAAGTGTTTTCTCTGACGTTTAATTTTCTCTAAATTAGGTCAGTAGGAAAGAGCATCTGCTTGCGTGCACTGTCCTCAGCCCCCACTAGGTGGCACTGCTTCCCAATGAGCAATTTCTTCTGGTGTGAGGCTGGCTGAAACCTCCTTCTATGGATCAAGGCCGGTCAAATGGGAGCTGCAGGAGGAAAGAGAAAAACTGTAAAGAACCATCCAATTCCCACCTCAACCCCAACTCTCACATTTCAACGAGCGAAACAGCACCTGGAAGCGGAGAGCGTCTGGTGGCCGGGGCCGGTGGTCCCTGAGGTGAAGTGTGAGCACGTGAGGGAAGGGCCTCCTGTGCCCACCTGTGTGATACGCCCACTCGCCCGTTAGGAAGAGGCGGCCCAGACGCTGTGCTCCAAGACTGGAGGGCATGGGCATATACATGGGAAGCTCAGCCAAGTGTACCCACGTTACAACCCAGAGGGCTCACGTTTTCGAGGCCAGCCCCTAAGAAAGTGAAGTTGTGAGATGGAGCGGTTATTTTTGCACGTACGGGCGCGACAGCCGTGACCTGTAAGCAGCACTTCGGCCTGCTGTGGCCTGCCCTCTGCACGCCCCCACTCCGGGTCTGCAGCACCGCAGCCGGTGTGCTCCCTCCGCCCTAGTCACACCGGACCCCAGAGCCCTGCAGGCCCACAGCGGCTGGGCCCGGCCGCCGCTAAGGAAGGGGGAGTGACACAGGGCTGGTGTCGAAGGGCAGAGCGGTCCATCTCCTCGATTCGTCCCCACACCGCAAGACTCATTTCTCTGAACAGGAACGAGCCCTTATGGGGAGTGGGGTGGGAGGACTCGGCGCTTGTCTGGAGATGAAGTTTCGGAAGGTTACGGGCTGGGACCACGGTCACGGCTTGCCTCCAGGTGGTGGTACTGTCTGAACCTGAGTGCTTTTGTAATCAGTACGCAGAACTGAAAAAACGTGTCTTCCAAGCTCAGTGGTGCTCTTAAGTACTAGATGCTCCCTGTTAAAAAAAGAAAAAATGAGAATTTATACTGTGCTTTAATCCCTTTGGAACCCTCTCAGAAAAATTTGAGTTTTAGCTTTTACAGGAAAACTGAATGTGGATTTGCCTTGTATCACTCTTACTTTGGTGCTAAATAACCAGAGCTGCGTGACTCCGTCTGCATACGTACAGCCCGGCCTACCGTTCTAATCTTTGAGCCAGAAAGATCTTTGGTCAGTGGATAGGGCAGAATTAGCTCCCTCTAACGAGGTTATGCTTGCTAGGTTCCTCATTATCCACAGAGCCAACACCTACCCTCCTAGACCCACATACCGTCCTCCACGTCACCCCTATGTCTAAAAATCCTCCTGCCGTCCATCTCAGGGCTGGCCCCGCAGCACAGAGGTTAAGCGTTGTGCACAGGAAGCCAGGCCCTTGTGGCTGACGAGTCCAGTCCTAGCCCTGGCTACATGCAAGCCACACCAGTGCATGTGTGCCCCGAATTCTGACGGAACGGATGGAGGAAGCAGGATCAGAGCATGACCAGGCCCCAGGGTGGTGGGTGGGGGGGATACTTTCACTTTCTCTGGCCAGTGCACGTGCCCTCTGGCGATTAAAGGAAAAAGTGAATTGGACGAGCATTTGAGTGACTTCATGGTGCTATTTCATGATGCTGGACCTCCTGTTATCTCATCCAGCCCTCGTAGCCATGGCTGTAACTTAAACGTTGAACAATCTCATGTAACGTCTAGGGA